TTTTAATATTTATTTTTTAGTTCTCGGCGGACACAACATCTTTGTTTGTATGTGGTGCTGAGGATCGAACCCAGGCCGCACGCATGCCAGGCGAGCGTGCTACCGCTTGAGCCACATCTCCAGCCCAATTATGTTTAAATAAATACATCAACTATTGAAAACAATACAGGTAACTCTGTAAGCATTTCGAGATGTACTATACTCAAAAGTCTTCAACACAGGCATTGCTCACTAAACCCAGTCCAAAATGCTCCCTTATAGTCATGTAGAATGTCTTTTTTTTAACCCAGTAAAAATTTGGTGATTTGTCATATATCAAATGTTGATACCTCTGATCTTCCAGACTTCACAATATTTTAATATATTAGTTAGTAGGGGAGAAAGAACTAAACTTCATAATCATTTGTAGAAGCTTTCATGAACACCAACCAAATGAACCACAGTGACACTGTTGACGCTAAGGAGACCATGGAAGTCACACGAATAAATTCTCTGGATATCATAGACCTTCTTAGATATTTTTTCTTCAGGTTTATTTCTTAAATGTGGGCACTATGTTGTTTTTTTATCTACATCTAAAGAAGCTAAAATTAAGAGTAAAGGAGTTATATAGTCCAATTTTCCTTACCTTAAATAATGGAAATAATTTCTTATTTGTTATAGAATTACAAACTACTCAGGCGAGGGTTATGGCTCAGTGGTTGAGCACTCACTTAGCACGTACAAGACCCTGGGTTCGATTCTCAGCACCACATAAAAATAAATAAAATCAAGGTTAAAAAAAAAAAAGACATTACTCATGGAGAGTGGGAAAAACGTGTATTATTGACCTGTTAGGCTCATATAATACACAGAAAATGTTGGGGGTAATAGAATAAACATATTTAAGGCAAAATATTCTAAAACAAAGTTCTAAATTGACTGCAATTACTGAATTAATAATCTCAAGTTAACATGAGATGTGGCTTACTTATGACAAAATAAATAACACTAGTCAAAAAGAAAAAAGGCTGGAGATGTGGCTCAAGCGGTAGCACGCTCGCCTGGCATGCGTGTGGCCCAGGTTCAATCCTCAGCACCACATGCAAACAAAGATGTTGTGTTTGCTGAAAACTGAAAAATAAATATTAAAATTCTCTCTCCAAAAAAAAAAAAAATAGTATCTCTCCATCCATTGTATAACTTCATTTAATTTAAAAAAAAAAGGAAAAGAAAAACAACTTGGGATTAGAGAATTCAAAGATTTATCCCATTTCTCAGTTCTGCAGCATCATAAAAAACAAAAACCAAACCAAACAAAAAACCCTCCAGTGATTCCTGAAACATAAACACCCAAACACCGATTTTCTTCTTTTTGATAGATTCTAATTGCCCCGGGGAAGCACACGGGGAACCTTGGGACATTTTGACATCCTTTTTTTTTTTTTTTTTTAGAGAGAGTGAGAGAGAGGGGGACAGAGAGAGAGAGAGAATTTTAACATTTATTTATTCTTAGTTCTTGGCGGACACAACATCTTTGTTGGTATGTGGTGCTGCTGAGGATCGAACCCGGGCCGCACGCATGCTAGGCGAGCGCGCTACCGCTTGAGCCACATCCCCAGCCTCCCCAGCCCCCCATTTTGACATCCTTTAAGCTATAACCTTGACACCAAGTTCACAGGCCTGGGCTTATTTTGCCCTTCCCAAAAGTACCTGGAACATGGCAGGTAGTCCCTTAAAAGAATAGGGTGTGTATTGAAAACAAGTGACCTGTTTTATAAAACTTTAAATTTATTCAAAGTGTTACAAGATTTCCACTCTCCCCTCCAAAATATTTTATAATTAAAAAAAATCCAAAACTATTTTCACAGCCACTGTACAAGTTACTGCTTCCTTTTCTGAGGACCAGCCTTTGCCCTTCCAACTCCTTCCCCTCTCTTCCTCCCAATATTGCTGTTCATAAAACCTTTTATCTACCCCATGCTTTGCCCAGCCCTGCCCAGCCCAGCCCAGCCTGGCTTTCATGTCCTTGGTTGCAGGTGTGGCCCAACAAATGGGGGAATCCACAGGCAATGCCTGAAAGACAAGAGTATGCTTTGTGCTTCTGGGAGAATAGCTTTTGGCTTTTTCTTCATCAAGTGGCTCATTCGGACACCTGCTTAGAGCCAAATATTTGGCTTGGGGTTGTGCACAGGTCCTGTAGCCTTGTCTTTCCTCCAAATTCCCCCAGATATGGCTCCATGACAACTGGGTATGATGACTGTACCATCTGTTTGCCTGGGGACTGTTAGAAACACAAGACCAGAATGGGGCTTGATAAAGCCCAACTTCTCAAAGTGCAGGTACCACACCTCCAGGGGAAGAAGTTTTGTTTTTTTGTAGGCAAAGTCAGGGCCAGCCAGGACCACCAGAGGGTAGGGAAGTAGAAGGAAAGGTCTGACTACATAGTCTGGGATGAGCAATGTTCCTTCTGACAGACCCTCCCATCTCCCTCCCCTTTCATCCTGCAGGTCCCAGGATGATTCCAGAAAAGAGGAGGAAAGAGAGAAAAGGATTCTGCTCTGCTGATGGAAAAATGGCAGGAGACCGACAGTGCTCAGGGCTGGGGAGAGGCCTGCTGGAATCTGTAGTTGTCTCTGCTTCCCTGTTCTATAAGGGAGGGCAGGGGAAGGAGCCAGGCCCTCAGAGGCTTCATCAGCTCTGTTCCTTGTCCTTGACTAATAGGACTGTATGCTGGCCCCCGCTGGACACAGACAACACCACGCGGTTCTCCAGCTGTTTGCCAGTCATCTCCACAGGGCTCCAGGCGTCCTCATCCTGCCCTGTACCCAGCTGATAGTTGGTGCCCATACCCCAGGCAAAAACACGACCTGTAGGGGGAAAGAAATGGAGGCAGCTGTCTCCAGGATTTCTGGCTACACCTTTCCACACTGCAAAACCTGGGACATGAGGGTGAATTCTGGCCTTGGCCAACAGCAGCCAGATAAGGTGCTGTCTCTGGGATTTCAGGGAAGTTGAGAGAAGTCAAGGAGATAATGTAAAGACTTCTTCCTGCTCCCAGGCCCTAAATGACTGGCTGCTTCCTAAATCCCTGCATCCACCCTCCATTCTCAGGACCAACTGTCATTGAGACTGCTATGGAAGTTGCCCGGCTGGGAATACCTTCCTGTACTTGAAAAATAAAACCTTTGGGGTACAGTGAAAGCCCTCACTTCCTCAGAGGTCTTCCCAGTCTCAGATCAAGCATTTCTGCTGACTTCATTTTTCTTTTTTGGGGTATTGGGGATTGAACCCAGGGGCCCTTTACCACTGAGCCACATCCCAGCCCTTTTTATTTTTTGAGACAAGGCCTTGGCTAAATTGCTTAGGGCCACACTAATTTGCTGAGGCTGGCATTACAGGCGTGCACCACCACAACCGGCTTGCCAGCCAGCCTTCTAGCAGCTCTCCCTTACTGTGCCCCCTCACCCCTTTAGGCTTTGGCAGTCACTTGTTGACATCCTCCTCTCCTATGCTGGCCAGGACCCTGACTACTCAGCCTGTTTTCCCCTAAGATTCTTAAGTATAACTCCATGGGAAGCTGGGACTCTGGGACTCAATGATATCTCCTCTTTATTTTTCTCCTCTGCAGAACTAATCACTTCTAGCCAGCAGGTAATGTGGCATGCACATGTGCCTGAAGTTCTTGCACTCAGGAGGCTGAGGTGGGGGATCATTTGGGTCCAGGAGTTTCAGACTACCATGGGCAACACAGTGAGACCCAGTCTCAAATCATCTGTTTACTCATTTATAATCAAATCAGAGAGTTTCTGAGGGTCAGGAGCAAAGACCAATTTCTACATCTCAATTTCAGCATGATGGTAGACAGCCTGCTAGAGAGTATGATAAGAATCACAACCCACAGGCCCCAACCAGACGAGGTGTGGGGAGCCCCACTTACCATCCTTGGTCACGGCATACCCCACAGAAGCCCCACAGGCCACTGAGACGACGGTGGGCAGCCTGGAGATGAGGGTGGGTATGCTCTTCTCCTCAGCACCCTCCCCAAGGCCAAGCCGCCCATACTCAGCCCGGCCCAGGCTGTATGCTTTTCCTGTGGGAAGAGGGAGAGAGATAAGCAGTAGCAGAGGACATCCTCTGGGCAAAACAGGCAGCAGGCCAGGTGAGTCCTCATATCCTCAGGAGCCTGTCCCCACTCTCAGCATGGTCAGAAGGAGGTATGTAGTGTCCCCATTTTGGGTGAGTCCTAGGAGAATCTTCAAATAGGCCTCCAATGAACTTGTACTTGGAAGCACCAGGACTCTGGAGGACAAGGGTGACCTGTATGGACCCATGTCTGGCCCAAACTGTAGAACAGGCCCTGGTCTGGATAGGCCTAGTTTGTCTCTAACATAGAGGACTTGGAGGTCCTACCTTCTGAATCCAGACAGACTGTATGGTGCTGGCCACCAGAGAAGCACACCCAGGATTTGGTGGAATTCTTGAAGCATGTCAAGTTCTGGGGTATGAAGCAAGATTCTGTGCCTGGTGTTCCTGCCATCAGGGGTAAAGGTGTTTCAGGAGATGTTTTATCAATCCCATCCCATAGCAAGGCCACCCTCACCAGGATATGAATATTCTCACTTTACAGACACAACTGTGGCTCTGGGGAATTAAGGAACTCCACAAAGGGTGCACAGTAAATAAGTGACAGAGCCAGGACTGGAACCAGGTCATCGGGCCACCCCTATGCTATGCTGCATTCAGACTCACCAAGTTGATGGTAGTTGGAAAGGCCAAAGCCATATATGTGGCCGTCTTGGGAGATGGCAAAAGTGAAATAGGCACCACAGAAGGCATCCTGGAACCTCACATGGCCCCGGGCTCCCCTGGATTTCAGCATCACACACTTGGGGACCAAGAGTCGTTCTGTAGGTAAAGCAGCCAGGGTCAGTGACAGAAGCACATGGCCTTTTTCTTCTCTGATCCTGGGCCTGTTTCTCTTATGTTTTGAAAACCGTTGGGAGGAGGCTAAGCAGGAACTCTAAACCGTATTTTACAGAAGAGGATACTAAAGCCAGTGTAAATGCTATGCTCAGATTCCCACAGTATTAGACTAATGTTTATGTGGAACTTACGATGTGCCAGATATTTTTCTAATTAACTTATATATCTTCACGCAACACAATGAAGTAAGGTTAAAGACAGGTTTAGAGATAAGGAAACTATATGGCGCAGGTCCCATAGCTAGTAGATAACAGAACAGGATTCAAACTCATGGTAGCTGGGCATGGTGGCACTTACCTGTAATCTCAGCAACTCAGGAGGCTGAAGTAAGAGGCCTGCAAGTTCAAGATCAATCTCAGCAACTTACCAAGACCCTAAGCAACTTAGTGAGACCCTGTCTCAAAAATATAAAAAGGGCTCGAGATGTAGCTTAGTGGTAAAGTACAAACAACCCTAGGTTCAATCCCTAGCACCAAAAACAAACAAAAAAATCTTCCCATACCCAGGGTAGCCATCAGTCTCCAAAGTTTGAACCCCTCCCCCACCCTTTTTGGTCAATATTGGGGAATGAACCCAGGGCCTTGCACATGATAAGCAGATATGCAGGTGCTCTACCATCAAACTATATACCCAACTCCATTTTTTTTTAAAATATTTTTTTTAGTTGTAGATGGACACAATATCTTATTTGTTTATTTTTATGTGGTGCTGGGGATTGAACCCAGGGCCTCACGAGTGAGAGGCAAACACTCTTCCACTGAGCTACAACCTCAGCCCGTGGCCCCATTTTTTTAAAATATTTTTTTAGTTGTAAATGGATCTTTCATTTCATTTATTTATTTATTTATATGCGGTGCTGAGGATTGAACCCAGGGCCTCACACATGCTCTACCATTGAGCCACAACTGAAGCCCTCAGCCCCATTTTTTAAAAAAAATATTTTATTTCTTTATTTTTAAATGGTGTTGAAGATGGAACCCAGGGCCTTGCACATGCTAGGCAAATGCTCTACCACTGAGCCACAACGCCAGCCCCCCTCAGCCCTATTTTAAAAAAAAACTTTGAAATAGGGTCTTGCCAAATTGCCAAGACTGGCTTTGAACTTGTGATCTTCCTGCCTCAGCCTCTGAAGTAGTTAGGAATTTATATGTGTGCCACCGCACCTCACTCAAGTTTGAGTTTTTATTATTTATTTATTTATTTTAGGGGTGGGGTGGGGTGGGGGGTGCACTGGAGATTGAACCCAGGGTCTATGTGTATGCAAGGTAAGTACTCTACCAACTTAGCTATATCCCCAACTCAGTTTTTAAAGTGTGAGATCTTAAAACACTACAAGTCTATTTCATGCAAGTCTGAAGCTCAAGACTCCCTCCTGCTTTTAGTCACCACAGGGGTTGGTTTGCCAAGTTACCCCACTAGATGTACTGAAACTACTTACCGAGGCCCTGCCGACCACCACGGTTGGAAAATAACTCAGGTACTCGGCCTAGCTGGCCCTGCTCCCCGCAGCCCAAGGTGTAGAGGTCACCATCAGTTGTCAGCATCACCAAGTGGTCATTTCCTGAAGATGAGAGGAAGGTGGAGGATGCATGGCTTATCTGTTAGGACCAAGGCTGATCCAGCCCCAGAAGAAGGTCCTTTAGCTCCTGCCTACAGTGAATACTCCTAAACCCACCTGAGGCTACCTTTACCACTGGTGTGTCCAGCTGCACTTGCAAAGGCACCATGCTCTTCTTCATGGGCTCCAACAACCCAATCACGCCATTATTGTCCTAGAAGGGAAGAGAGCACTTATCAGCTAGTCCTGCCTGCCCTGTAGCAGCCACATTCAGGCTTTTAGGAGGCCACAGAGCTATCTGGTGAAGTGTAGTAAGTAGTAGCAGAAGGGATAAAGAGCAGACAGGAGCCAGGTCGCATCCTGAAATATTTATGAATGAAATCATACATGATCTGGGATTTGCATTATAATAACAAAGGAATAGGTGAGTAGGAATAAATATGTCTGGCTAAAAAGTTGATAACTGTTGAAACTTGGTGTCAATATATAATTCTAATTATTCTTAAGAAATCCTCCATAAAAATTTTAGGAAACATTCATCGGATTCCTTATTTTTTTATGAGACTTCACAATAAATACCAAGGTACCAATCTTAATGCTGAAACTGTTTTTTAAACTACACTCCCTTGCCTTGGAAACACTGTGATGTGACAATTCCTGCCTCATTCCCCCAAAGCCTCTGGAAAGTAGGGAAGAGGGCTGGGAAGGGAAGAGAGAGGTTCAGGTAGGGGATGACAAGAGTAGTTTCCTATATCAGCCTCAACCCAAAGGCATCTTTCACCCACTCCTTTCTCAGGACATGCATTTCATAACATCAGATTCAAGAAAAGAGCTAAAACTGTGGACAGGCCCAGAAGAAGCCAGAGATTTGGATCTGGGCCCCAGCCCTGCCTTTTTCAACCCAAGTACAATAGTGGTAAGGAGGTTAGATAATTTTTTTGGTACCAGGGACTGAACCCAGGGGTGCTTAGTCACTGAGCAATACAGCCAGCCCTTTTATTTTTTGAGACAGGGTCTTGCTAAGTTGTTTAGGGACTCACTAAATTGCTGAGGCTGGCTCTGAACTTTTGATCTTCCTATCTCAACCTTCTGAGCCTCTGGGATTATAGGCATGCACCACCACTCCTAGCCAGTCTTTTTTGTTTGTTTGTTTGTTTGGTGCTGGGGATCAAACCCAGGACCTCATGCTTGCTAGATAAGCTCTCTTCCACTGAGTTATACCCTCACTTCCATGCAGTCTTCTAGACCCAGTCTTACCCGGAATGAACCCCACAGGAAAACACGACCATCTTCGGTGAGAGCTGCTGTGTGGCTATCTCCTGCTGACACTTGTATCACCTTCTCTTGCAGGTCCACTTTCCCAGGGACCATGTCTGAGCCCTCCACAGATGTGTCCCTTCCCAGGGCACCTTCATCATTGCAGCCGAAGGAGTAGACCTATGCCCAGGAAGCCCCCATTAGTGCAAGATCTGGTCTCAATCCACTCTCATTTAGGCCATTCCTTGCTTGGCTAGCCGGCTCCATCTCCACAGTGAAATGTATATGGCTTAAAGCTCCTGTCCCAACCCTAGCCCATCCCCCCCAACCCCAGGCACTGCCCAATCCCCCAGCCTACCTGGCCACTTTTGCTCAGACACACGGTGTGCATGCCCCCAGCCTCAACCTGCACAACATCCTCTGGAATGGGCACCAGGGCAGGCTTCTTCCTCTCTATAACATTCTCACCTAGGCCCAGCTGGCCTACGTCGCCCTGGCCCAGTGTCAGCACCAAGCCTGGTTCTGTGTTGTGGGACCTGTGTGAGACTGAGGGGTGGAGAAGATAGCCCCTGAGTGGGCAGGATGATAGGAGAGAGGGAGGTCATTTCATGGACTCTGGCATCAGGAATCAATCTTGAACCTGGGTTTAAGCCCCTGCTCTGTAATAAGTCATTAGTATGACATTCTTGAGACTAAGTTTCCTCATCATCTCAAAGAGTTTCTGTGAAGATTAAAAGCTGAGCACATTATTAATGTGACAGTAAGGAAATAGAAACAAGGAGACCCCATTCTGTGAAATGAATCTTGGTGAGGAGGGGAAGAGGACCATGACGACTCAAGATAGTTTTCCTGATTAGCCTAGGTTGTCTGTCAGAAGTCACAGTGCTAACAGCTGGGGCTCAGATAATGTCCACCCTTTACTGACTGCTTACTCTACCTTTGACTTGCTCTGCAGATTTTCCATATTTAGGATCCTGTGTTATAGAAAAGGGAAGAGAGCAACCTAGAGGTTCAGCAATCTTCCCAGGGTCATAAGGCAATTTAGCAGTCTGCACTAAAACCAAGGGAGACTACATGGATTGGAGCAGACACCAGCCTCTACCCTAACCCTCCTCCATCCCCAGGCTGTGATTTTCAACTTCTGGATATATTCTCAGAGGAAAACTGACCACTCTAACCCTATGGGGCAGCACACTGGCAGTTGAAGAGGAAGAGGCAGGCCACAGAACCATCTGCAGTGAGGTTTGTGCCCACCAGTGGGCGGCACAAGGCCCTCTGCTAGCCAATGGAGGCCTCGGCAGCCCCAGACAGCCAATAGCGTCCAGCCTCTCCTCCAGGCGCGTGGCCATGGCCCCCAGGGCCACGGGGGCTGCGCAGAGAGTGCACTGAGCAGGGAGCCACCTGGGTGGGTTTTCTGGTCAGGAGGGCTCAGCCTGTAGGCACCTTGGCAGGAGCGGGCGCTGGGACCACGGCGGGAGGCAGTGGCCCTCACTGCTTTGTTACGAGAGTCTGCAAAAGACAGACACTGTCTGAGTGTGGGTTCACATACCCTCTTCCCAGACAGGGGGTGGCTTTCTCCTGTTCCTGCCCCACTTTAGGATCTCAGAAAAAAGAAAACCAGGGATTCCTCTCTCAAATGCTGCCAGGACATTGTCTCATTTAATCATTTAATCCTCACAACAACAGCCCAGAGATCAGTGATGTTCTCATCTCCATTTTATGAAGTGGGTAACCCAAGCTCAGTCAAGTTTTAACTTGCCTATGGTTACACATCTAGAAAGTGGCAGGACTTGAACCTACTATGGAAATCAGTGGTCCTAATCAAAATACATTATTGCCTGGAGCAAAATTCTAAGATTGACTGATTGATTGATTGATTGTGTGTATGTGTGTACTGAGGATTAACCCAAGGGCACTTTACCACTGAGCTATATCCCCAGTCCTTTTTATTTTTTGAGACAGGATCTTGCTAACTTGCTGAGGGTATAATAAATTGCTTTAGGTTGGCCTTAAACTTGCAATCCTCCTGCCTCAACATCCCAAATCACTGGAATCACAGGCGTGCACCACCACATTGGGCTGTCAGCCCAGTTTTTATTTCCTTGAGGATGAGATTCAATGAGCTATAGGAGACCCTCCAGCTGGGTGTGGGGTCCCTGGACATCCAAGCCTCTCATCTTTCAGGGAGGAAGAAACCCAGTCCCAGGTTCCCTGGGTTCTAAGAGGCTACCCACAAGCAGAAAGAAGAGGCCACAGCCAACTTACCCTTTACTTTCTTGCTTTTGGGGATGGCATCTTCTGGGGCTGACCTTCTCTTAGCTATGCGCTTGGGTGGCATCTTCCTATCCTGAAAAACCCAGCCAAGTACTACCTGTTAGACATGGCAAACATTTTCCTGTGCTAATTATGCATTATTTATCAAAACCCCTAAGCAGCTGGGGATGTAGCTTAGTAGTAGAGCACTTCCCTAGCAGGCACAAGGCCTTGCATTCCATCCCCAATGCCGAAGAACAAGAAGAAAAAAAAAAAGGTGGGGATATAGCTTAATGGTAGAGTCCCCTTGGTTTCAACGCCCAGTACCCCTTCCCCCAACACAAAATGAAAGGGTTAACTCAAGGCAGACCATGATACAGGAAGGGGGCTAACACAGCCTGGCCAGGCCTTCTAGACTCAGGGTCTTGCTTGCTAGATTCAGGAACTGAAGAATCTCTTTGTGTGAATGTCCCCAAGAGCGAAAGGAGGAGAACTTTCATGTAAACCAACATTTGTTGAGTTGCAATTATGCCAGGCACAGAGCTGGCACACTTCACACCAGGAATTCCTCCCAAGACCCCCAATGAGCTTGGCTAAATAGAAGGTACAGAGAGTAGAAGTCAATTGAGAAAGAGGAGGTTGAGAGCAGAGAGAAGACAATGAGGCAGCTGGAGCTTCTTTCTAGGTGGGCTGGTGACAGATCCAGACAATGGGTACAGCTCCCTGCTGTGGTAGAAAGCACACAGGCTTTAGTTTCACAGACCTGAGTTGCCTATGAGCCCCAGAGGCAGGGTTGTGGGGGAGTGGGCATCTTCTAAAAGGTGAAGCCCTCTGCCTGTTACCTGCCAGCATATCCTCAACTGTGCAAATCAGTTCTTTCTACAGATTATCTCCCTTACACTGTTCTGGGGATCTAACCCAGGCCCATAAGCAAGTTAAGCATGAGTTCTTCTACTGAACTATACCAACAGCCCCTGAGTGTTTTATTTTTCTGCTTCTTTTTTTCAATCTGGGGACTGAACCCAGGTGTGCTATACTATTGAGCTATATTCCCCACTCCTTGTTTTATCTGATCTAAGTTGCTTAGGATCTTGCTATATTACTGATATTGGCCTCAAACTTTCAATCCTTCTGCCAGGGCCTCCTGAGTCACTGGGATTACAGTGTGTGCTACCACACCCAGCTCTGCAAGTTTTCTTAACCTGAGTCTAGACTGGGAACAAGGATTTGTCTTTTGTCATCATGTTCACATTCCCATTTTCTATGCTTTACCTTCCATCTTCAAGTTTACAGTTAAGGAGAAGAGTGAAACACAGTCACAAACAGTTAAGTCAGATACAGAGTCAGTGTATACTAATGGGTACCTATAATGCTCCAACCTTTTCTAGAGTGCCCTGAGGTAAGAGTTATTACTCCACTATTATAGATAAAGGAGATGAGGCTCAGGGAAATTTGCCCTAGACCACACAGAGGTGGGATGGAAATCCAGGTCTTCAGACCATTCCCCACTCAGGGCCAGAGCCTTCCCCACCTTAGTTTCCTCACTTGTTGATTGAAGTGGGTAGGCACACCAGTATAGACAGTCTAGCAGGATTCTGGTGTTCCTGCTACAATTCCCACCACATCCTGGTTTCAGTAATGGAAAACCAAGCTCTGGGACCATAGCAGCTGTCTCCTCCCTCCTCCACACCAGGAAGCAGAACTTGCCTGCCAGACTCAGGGGCTGAAGAATCTCTTTGTGTGAAAGGTCCCCAGGAGGAAAGGGAGGAGGGCTCCCATGTCAACAAACATTTGCTGAGTTGTTCTTATGCCAGGCACAGAGCTGGCATATTTCACACCAAGTGTTCCTCTCTATGGTCCTCTTAGTATACAGAGCTGTGCTTGGGCCTCCCTGATCCTTTTTCCCTGGGGAAAGGGACCATAGCTTTCACCAGATGTTAGCGCCACTGTTTTATGGAAATTTTAGGACACTAGAAATCCTCATCACATACAACTTACACATTTTAGATATAAGAAACTAAGGTTCAGGGGAATTGGGTGGGTAGCCCAATGGCAACAGATTCCTATTCTTGTGTTGTCTGTAACTGAAACTTAATGATTAACTCTTAATTCATCTTTCCAAGCTCCACTCTCATGCCCTTCTTTGGGGAAACATTCCCTGCCTCCTCTACCACATGCAGTGTTCCTTGGTCCTGTATTCTAAGTAGTCCCACCAAGACTCTGCTGTACCAGAGCTGCTTCAGTCCTCAAATCACCTGTGGTCTTGATCACAACACTCACCCATACATTTATGTCTTTGTATGTGCTATGTACCCTGCCTGGAATCCCTGACCCCACCACCTCACTTGGCCTCCACAGTTCAATTAAAACCCAGTCAAGAGTCACCTCACCTGAAAAGCTATCCCTGCCCCTCCTGAGCAGGGTTGATGGGTCTCTCTTTGGGGTCCTGTAACACTCCATATGTTCCACTAAAGCTAGGGCACACAAGTCACACACGGTTGAAGTTCAATTAATTTTTCTGATGAATGACTTGCCAGCAGCAGTGCTCTGGGTGCCAGGGGCATACTTTTGTGACCACACGGGACCATAACTGTGGACACTCACAAAGTCTCTCCCAGGGATGTAAAGGCCACATGGGCCTTTTCACCATTGTTGTCCAGCACTTTCAAGAGCGGCATAGAATGGATGGCCAGCAAATAATTTGTTCACAGACTTAACTGATGCGGAGTTCTGGGCACACCTCTCTAACGCGCCAACAGTTGAGGAGGTGCCTGTTGACGTTGAGGTTCCTGTCCTTGCAGCGGGGCCTCACCACCCCAACCTTGGGCTTCTAAAGCAGACCCTTTCCGGGGCCGAGTTCCCCCTGTAGTGCAAACCGCATTCTCCAAACGAACGCAGGACAAAACCACTCTCCCTGTAGTGGAGACGCAGCCCCAGCCCGGCGGCCGCCCAGCCGCGAGGCACGCGAGTCGGCGCGTCGGGGGCCCGCGAGGTCGCCGCGGCCACGAGCAGTCTTCCGCACCCGGGCCGTTTGAATCTCCCGCCCGCTCTGGCGCCGCGGCGGAGGGGCTGCGCGGCCCCGGCTCGGGTGAGGCGGGGCCCAGTTGGCCGCCCGCGGGGCCGGAGCACGCGCGCCCACACCGCGTCTCGCTGCCCCCCGCTTCGCGTGGGCCGGCATTGCGCGACTCCCGCGGGCGCGAGCAAGCAACGACCCAGGTCACCGCGCTCCGCGGGGCCGCCCCACGCGCTTCCCTCCCCCGGGACTCTCCGAACGTCTCCGGGCGACCTACCTTGGTGCGGGTCGGCTACAACGAACTCCAGTGATCACCGGCCGAGCCGCGAACTGCCCCGGAGCATGCGCTCTGCAGGCCTCCGGCCCCGACCCTGGCCAGAAAGGAAAACAAAGAGCCCGGCGGCCCCTGGCGGCCACCCCAGAAAGTGCGAGTGGCTCGCTCCCTGAGTAGGGAGCTTTGACCAGGCTCCCTCACCTGGCCTAGCTATAGGGGTTGTGTATTTCGGAAGCCCCAAATTCGGACAAGTGGATTGACAACCGAGCGACCGGAGTGACTACTTGAATCCAGGTTTGTTTGGGAAAATCTGATGCGTAAGGGTCTGAACGGAGAAAAAAAGTGATCTTTTGTCTCTGGGGAGGATGAGAAATCATTTTCAGTAGCCACACAGGGTTATGACAAGAGTTTGCACAGAGCCCTTTGACTCAGCAGTGGCCTTCCAAGTCTAGGAGTACAAGGCATTATGGGAGAAGCAACACTTGCAGTAACAGCCAGGAAAGCTCAGGGATGTTGTTCGAAACTGTCATATAGATGGGGGCAGTGGATGCCCTGTGGGAGTGACTGATGATGGATGGTGGGTCTTGTGTGTCTTTGTAGTAGTACAGCCTCTGTTCTGGGGCAATGGGGAACTAGGGGAGGGATCTGGGCTCCCATTGACATGGAACAGTTTTGAGAACAATGTGGAAAAGAAAAGCCAAGAAAGAGGGGAGCAAGAAGAAGGAGGGAGACCAGAAAAAAAGATGGGGTGTGAATTGGGCTTGGGAGTTGAAGATGTGAAGCATCAAGCATAATATTCTTTCTTGGCAACACATCCTTTTTCTTTAGGTTGCAAACAAAGTTCTTCAGGATTTCAGGTGTGCCCTGAGGTGACCTCTCAGGGGCTGCTTTGTGTCTTGGGATTTCTCAGAGTATCAGAGTAAAATACTGAAGAAGAGTATTTTCTGTGTTATACATTAACTCCAAAAACTTTTTGGGGGCTACAACATGATCAACATGACTTCTCTCACAGAGCTACACCCTCATCCCCAGATGAACATTTTTTTTTTTCTTTTGGTACCAAGGATTGAACTCAAGGGCACTCCACCACTGAGCCACATCCCAGCCCTATTTTGTATTTTGTTTAGAGACAGGGTCTCACTGAGTTGCTTAGGGCCTCGGCATTGCTGAGGCTGGCTTTGAACTTGCAAGTCGTCTGTCTCAGCCTCCCAGACTGGTGGGATTACAGGAGTGCGCCACTGCTCCTGGCCCCAGAGGGACATTTTTGATGAGTATTTTCCAACTGAATTTTTCCTACTATGCAGTGCCCACCCCAAAACACTTCTCTGCCTTCAGAGTCTCTTACCTGTTCAAGTTTACCTCTGCCTCCATCGTGAACTCCTTTTTTGGATGATATACTGTGAAATTTCTCCAAGTTTTTACCCTGGGATCTCTGATCTCTCTGTCTTCTGTCTTCAAGATCTTCTCATTCACTTAGCTTTAATTGTAAAAAGGGTTATTACCTATTTTGTTAACTACAGAAACATCTATGGGCATTGGCTCATTTGTTCCTCAAAAAACTTCATGAGTGGGGCTGGGGTTGTGGCTCAGTGGTAGAGCACTAGCCTAGCATGTGCAAGGCCCTGGGTTCGATTCTCAGCACCACATAAAAAAATAAAGATATTGACAACTACAACTAAAAAATAAATATTAAAAAAAACTTTATGAGTTGGAAAATGAAATTCAAAGAGGTTAAGTAAGTTCCCTAGGGTCTTCACAAAACTGGTGGAAGGAGACCTGGCTCTTAAGGATAGGCCATCACATTTTTTGTGGTCCTGGGGATCAAACTCAAGGCCTTATGTGAATCAGGCAACCTCTGTACCATTGAGCTACATCCCCAGCCATGGGCTATCACCTTTTAATTGACATGTCAGCCCATTTGGGCTGGTTCTGAAGTCTACCCCAAGTTACCACCCTGTATCTCTATCTAGAAGACCCAACATTTTTCTTAGTAAGTTTCTTGGGCTGCTTTAAACTTGCCATCTTCCTATCTCAGCCTCCCAAGTTACTGGGATTATAGGCGTGTGTTATGCCCAGCAACTCAATATCTTTTTTTTTTTTTTTTTGTACAAGGGCTTGAACCCAAGGGCACATTGTGACTGAGCCACATCTCCAATTCCTCTTTTTTTTTTTTTTTTTTTTTTTCGTCTTTAAGGGCCAAGGGTCCAGTTCCTCTTTTAAATTTTATTTAGAGACAGGTTCTCTCCAAGTTATTGGAGCTGGCTTTTTTCTTTTTTTTTTTTTTAAAGAGAGTGAGAATTTTTAATATTTATTTTTTAGTTCTCGGCGGACACAACATCTTTGTTGGTATGTGGTGCTGAGGATCGAACCCGGGCCCGCACGCATGCCAGGCGAGCGCGCTACCGCTTGAGCCACATCCCCAGCCCTGAGGCTGGCTTTGAATTTGTGATCTTCCTGCCTCAGCCTCTCAAGCCACTGAGACTACAGGCATGTGCCACTGTGCCCCACACAACTCAATTCAGTACTTTCTCATGGATTTAGACTCCCTCCCCCAACTTCCAATCAATATTAGGGTTCTCTGAAAAGTATAGGTTTAAAACCTTTTTCTTTTTTTTTTTCCCATTTCTGCTCCTCTTGTCTAAAACTGTCCTTCTGGCCTCTCCTCTAATTCATTGGTGCTGAGGATTGAAGTTTGAACCCAGGGCCTTGGGCATGCAAGGCAAGCACTCTACCAACTGAGCTATATCCCCAGCCCCTCAACAAGTACTTCTTTAGAGCTGTGCTTGGAACACAAGGCTACAAATGCCCTGAGCTGTAAATTTCATATTTCATATTTCTTTATTACCTGCTACACTACTCTGAAAGTGCCCATTATTCATTTCCACTCTCTCACCTTTACCTGGGCTATTCCCTCTACTAGGGTGCCTTTCTTCCTGCATGTATGTATGAATGTATGTATGTGTGTGTGTGTATATATATATATATATATATATACACATATTATATATATATATATATACACACATATTTTTTTTTGGTACTGGGGAATTGAACTCAGGGGTACTCAACCACTAAGCCACATCTGCAGCCCTATTTTTGTTTAGAGATAGGGTTTCACTAATTTGCTAAGCATCTCACCATTGCTGAGGCTGGCTTTGAACTCTGGATCCTCCTGCCTCAGCCTCCAGAGCCGCTGGGATTACAGGCGTGTACCACTGTGCTTGGCTCTGACTACCTGAATTCTTGATACAAGTATGTGTATATACACACCAGCATATATACATTTGGCCATAATGGAGATTAAACCCAGTAAGTATATATGTATGTACATATGTATATAAGCACACACACATATATATATATATACTTATGTATATACATATAATTTTATTTATTGGTGGTACTGGGGATTGAACCCTAGGGTGTTCTACACTGAGTTACATCCTAAGCCTTTTTTCTTCTTTTAAATTGAGATAGGTCTCAGTAAATTGCCCAGGGTGGACTCAAACTTGCAGTCTTCTTATCCCAGAGCAGCTGGGATTACATGCATGTGGCGCCACTCCAGCCTGCATCCTTCATTCATATATATAATATATATAAATATGTATTTATTTTAATGTTTCATAGTTCATTTTACTATTTTTCTTTCTACATTTTTTCCTTATTATTTTTAAATATTTTTAAATTGTAGTTGGACACAGTACCTTTATTTCACTTATTTTTATATGGTGCTAAGGATCGAACCCAGTGCCTCAAGCATGCCAGGCAAGCACGCTACCACTTGAGCCACATCCCCAGCCCTCTTTCCACATTTTTTATTGGTGCATTATCATTGTACATAATGAGATTTCTTGTTACTTTTTTTTTTTTTTTTGTACCAGGGATTGAACCCAGGGTCACTTAACCATTAAGCCACATCCCCAGCCCTTTAAATTTTTTTTTTTTTGAGAGAGAATTTTATATATATTTAGTTAGTTAATTTTCGGCGGACACAACATCTTTGTACGTGGTGCTGAGGTTCGAACCTGGGCCGCACACATGCCAGACTACCGCTTGAGCCACATCCCCAGCCCCTAAAAAATTTTGAGACAGAGTCTCACTAAGTTGCTTAGGGCCTAGCTAAATCGTTGAGGCTGCCTTTGAATTTGTGATCCTCCTGCCTTAGTCTCCTACACCACTGGGATTACAGGTTTACACCATTGTGTCCAGCAACAGAATTTTTCATATCTTTTAAGGCCCAATTCAGTCCTACTTCCATTAAGACTTATTGGGCCCACATAACTTTATCTCTGAATCAAACATCAGCTTTAATTTCTTTCACACCCTATCACTATTTTATTGAATGTGAACCATAAAAAAAAACTATCCAGGGACTGGGGATGTGGCTCAAGCGGTAGCATGCTCGCCTGGCATGCACGGGGCGCTGGGTTCTATCCTTAGTACCACATAAAAATAATATAAAGATGTTGTGTCCAAAGAAAACTAAAAAATAAAAAATATTAAAAACTTTAAAAAAAAAGAACTATCTATTAATTGAACTTGACCCAGAAGTGCAGAGATGGTAAGAGTGATGGAATTCAAAGTTATTATGGGTTGGGGATGTAGTTCTGTGGTGGAGCACTTGGCCATGTTGTACAAGATCCTGGTTTCAAGCTGGGCATGGTGGTGCACACCTGTAATTCCAGCAGCTTGGGAGGTTCAAAACCAGCCTTGTCGGGCTGGGGATGTGGCTCAAGCGGTAGTCAGCCCCACATACAAAGATGTTGTGTCCACCAAAAACTAAAAAATAAATATTAAAAAAACCCAAAAAAACAGCCTTGTCAAATTAGTAAGGCACGGGCTGGGGATGTGGCTCAAGCGGTAGCGCGCTGCCTGGCATGCGTGCGGCCCGGGTTCGATCCTCAGCACCACATACAAAGATGTTGTGTCCGCTGATAACTAAAGAATAAATATTGAGGGCTGGGGTTGTGTGGCTCAGTGGTAGAGCGCCTGTCTAGCACGTGTGAGGCCATGGGTTAGATCCTCAGCACCACATAAAAAAAAATAAAATTATGTCCATCTACATCTAAAAAAAAAATATTAAAACAAAAAATATTGAAATTCTTTCTCTCTAAAAAAAAAAAAAAATTAGTAAGGCACTAATGCAACAATGAGACCCTAAATAAAAAGAGTCTCTAAATAAAAAGAAAAAAGTCTCTAAATAAAAAGAAAGGAGGGGGTACTGGGGATGTGGCTGAGTGGTTAAGTGCCCCAGAGTTCAATTTCTGGTACCAAAAAGATTCTGGTTTCCATTTCCAACAAGCAAACCCCCCAAAACACCCCACCCCCTCAAACAATGTCACTAGGTAGCAGGGATTGAACCCAGAGGCATTTTACCACTGACCTACATCCCACCCCTTTGTATATTTTGAGACAGGGTCTTAAGTTGTTTAATGCCTCACCCATTGCTGAGGCTGGCCTCAAACTTGTGATCCTGTGATTCTCAAGCCACTGGAATTACAGGCGTTATCATAAGCATATTAAAAAACTGGCATGGTAGTGCATGTCTATAATCCCAGCAACTCAGAAGATGGAGGGAAGATCTCAAATTCAAGGCCAGTCTCAGCAATTTAGCCAGATCTTGTCTCAGGGGTTAAGTGCCCTTAAATTTAGACCCAGGTATGTTTATGTGGGGAAATAAGAGTTGAGGGGAATCCTTGCTATGACCCTGCAAGACAAATGAGGGAACTGCGTCTTCCATGGCCACAGCTGATGGCGAAATCAAACCCAGTCAAGTAACAATACACTCAGAAAATGCCCAGAAGAGCCAACTAGAAATTCTAGTGTTGCAAGCTGACCTTTACAACAGTGGGGCTTAGAGAACATAGATGTCTCATATACTTCCTCAGGAGAAAAAAAGAGCTGTAGTCACCAAGTGACTGAAAAATTTAAAGCCCTCAATCTACTGTTGAGAAAAACCAGTGCGGTTCCAGTAGTTGCTCAACTAAGTTGAACTAAGAAATGTCCTCCAATAGAAGGCTTGTCTGGCTTCCCCAAAAAACAGGAAATTGGTAGCCACCTACAGAGAATCCTCAGGCAGTTGTATTTGGTCAGCCTTTCTCAATAACTTATGAAAGCAGAAATATGTACCTAGATGGCACAAACGCTACTAGTCTGATTTTGAGGCACTGGGGATAAAATTTAGCACCTCATATATGCTAGGCAGTAACTGCGCCTCTTGAATTATGAGAAATTATCTCAATTAAGGGGGGGTTGGGTAAATCACTTCTACTGCTGCTATGGTAGTTTAACCATGTGTTAAATAGCACCTACCCTCAAAGCTCTTCACTGATGAACTCAGGGATGGCTGACAAATACAATTCACACAACCAAACCTGTTCCTAGTGACCTCAAATCTTACCTTCTAGATGGTTTCCCTCTGGTCCATCTGATCTTCCCACACTGCTGGCAACCAGTGCAGATACTTGACCAGGCTTCCATTGTGACTTAACTTTCTAACATGATGAAGCAGGCCAACAATTTCAAGCTCTCAGGAAGGAGCATAGAGCAAGTACACTAGCTGTACACATGGACTATTCATCTCTTAGGCTGTTTTTCTCATACATGGGTGGGGAGAGATGTATAAAAACATGCATTTTCCCAAGAAATAAATGGTAGAAGGGAAAAACCTGGGACTTGATCTTGTGACCTTTACTACTTTTGAGTTAACCCCACAGTGAAATGTAACTTAGTTAACCAGCACCATTCAATTTGGCTGAAGCCCAACAATGCTACATGAAAAAGAACCACACAAACATGCAGTCACATTTATTTCAATTCACAAGTTTTTTTATTTCAATCCACATTAACTTGCCTCAGATATCTGTTAGATATATTACAAAGAGTATAAAACAGAAATCATAATAAATTTTGCTCAAGACATATCAACATGTTCTTCTGCAGTCCATTTGTTAGAAAACATGACTGGACTTGTTTGGAATTTGGAAAATGCCAAATATTCTTAGTCACCATGACAAATTTTAACTTCACCCCCATGCTTTCTTAAATTCCTTAATTTCCAGGAATACTTGGTGAACTGGGTAGCCTGTCAGCAGTCAAGGTTTAAAATCTGGGATAACAATTGCCTAGGAATGCAAATTCTGTTAAGAGATGATTTTCAAACTCTTAATAATAATTACCATTCTTATGTCTGATTAAAGGATCCCAAACCAAGTTACCAGGTTAACAGCTGAAGTTGAATATTGCTCTTCTTCTCCTGAATGAAAATAAACTCAAGATTAGAATCCCGAAGATCTTAGTCTAATAAAAAAATTTTAGTATGCTAGATATTGTTTCCTGCATGGTTTGTCTCCTCAGTCATAGTCCACAGACTCTGAGAAGTCGTAGGAATATGCAGGTGCAGACACAAAGCCCAGCTTCTTCTCCAACGTTGTGGAAAGGGACTGTACATCATGGGGCAGAGCCCTATGCTCCCCTATGCCACCTGGACAGAGCCCGGGGAGAGTGACCTCCCGGGTTATCCACGTTGGAATGCTTGAGTACTGTGGAGTTTGGAATACCTAACAAATGCTAACAGTTCTAACATCCTTATGTGCTTTAATTTTTCTCATCTCTGACCATACCTGTAGATAGATTGAAACTGCTTTTAGTGAATCCCAAACTAGTCTTTGAACTCCATTTTAAGTCTTTTCACTTTTAAATAGAACCCTCTCCTCAAACACATAAAATGTGATACCTTAGCAAACTTCACAAACATGAGCATACATTGTTAAAAACAATCCATTGGCTACTTACCCAAGCAAGAAGTATTTGGAATCATGAATCTGCAAAACAAAGCATTCACTTATCAATACAGTAAAGGTTAAAGCAGATCTACCATAAACAAGGGACTAATAAAAAATACTTTTGTTTCCTGCATGGTTTGTCTCCTCAGTCATAGTCCACAGACTCTGAGAAGTCGTAGGAATATGCAGGTGCAGACATAAAGCCCAGCTTCATCTCCAACGTTGTGGAAAGGGACTGTACATCATGGGGCAGAGCCCTATGCTCCCCTATGCCACCTGGACAGAGCCCGGGGAGAGACCTCCCGAGAGTATCCACGTTGGACCGTCACTGTTAATTCATTTAACTTACAACACTGTACCAATTATTAGTTTCTAGTTGATAGCGGCACTGGGTTCAATCCACAGCCCCACAAAGGAAGAAAAAAAAGCCAGTCATCTCATAATTAAGCGATCAAATACTTAGTATCGCTAAACTGCCTCAATAATAATAAAAAAAAAAAACCAAATTGTAGGGCTACAAGAAGACTGCCACGAAACTTTTCTTGCATATTTCGAAACCAGGGCCTTGCATGTGCTAGGCAAGCGCTCTACTGCTGAGCCACAACCTTGGCCCTGAATACATTTTTTCCTTTTATGCCTTTATTTAGTTCTTTTTAAAAATATGGTGCTGGGGATCGAATCCAGTGCCTCACGCATCCTAGGTAAGCGCTCCGCCATGGAGCCACAACCCCAGCCCGAAATTTGGAAAAATTTTAAAACGCGGATAGGGAACGAAACGTCTATGTGCAATTCTTTTCCGGATCATGTACCAGGCAGCAATTAACACCCGGATAGCAGTCCCTAAAAACTTCTGGGGCTGCGCGGCCCACATCCTGCTCAGTCCCATCGCATGCCTAAATGTAGTTTGAGTGGATGCAGCTAAAGGCAATCCCTCTAAACAACATGATCCTCAGGGAATGTTGAACGCCTACCCAAAGTAACAGATCAGGCAGAGGAACCACGCGGGTACAAGCACTTACCAACCAAAACAGCGCTGAACGGTAGTGTAGCTCCAAAAGACCGACTACGCCAAAGCATCTGTATTTATACCCAGGAGGGACCGGAAGTCGAGGTAGGCATATTGCGCCTGCGCAACGACTAGCATATAGGGCATTGGAAATTCGCTAAGGCTGCTGGGATCTACTGAGGTTAAACTACAGTCCTACCGGGATTTTAGGCTTCTCGCGATACTAGAGCCCTCGCGCGGGATCTTGCTGGGTAATGTAAGTTATAGAAACAAGTTTGTGGGTGTGTAGCTGGAAACTTTCGTAACAAATAGAAAGTTTACTTCTCGAAAGTTTACTTCAGTTGGTTCGTTCTGTCTGTAGAGAAACTGGCACATGAACGAATAGGAACAACTATGCAAAATAGGAAAAGAAAAACACAAGTCTCAAAAGGAATTGGATCTGTCCTTTCGCATGTGAAAGAAACATTTGATTTATACTGGAAAGAATTGCTTCTATATGAATTGGCTAAAATTAAATACTTCCTATGCACAATAATGGGTATGTAATTAAGTGGTAGTGAACTGAAAAACTGGTTAAAATGGAGGTTGAAGGTGTATTTCAGTGGTAGGGTAAGGGTCTGGATTTGATTCCTATTATGAGGTTGGTTGGGGGAAAAAACTCAAAGAAACAAACAACAACAAAAAAAACCCATCTGGGGCTGGGGATGTGGCTCTAGCGGTAGCACGCTCGCCTGGCTGGGTTCGATCCTCAACACCACATAAAAATAAAATAAAGATATTGTGTCCACCTAAAACTAAAAAACAAAAAAAAAATCTGGTTAATATGGTAAATTTTTTATGCCTTTACCACACACAAACAAAACCCTACTAATACAAAGGTGTAGGCAAGTAGAGAATCCTGAAGATACATATTTACAGGGCTGGGGGTGTATATCAGTGGTAGAGTGCTTTTTATGCATGAGGTCCTGGGTTTGTTATTCAGCAATGCAAAAAAAAATGATAGAATTTTGTGTATTGTTAGATAAGTTGACAGCCATCACATCCAAGGTATATTGACTAAAAAAGGTTGATAGTATTTCTCCTTTTGCTCTGAGTGCTATACATTTATTATTTTGCTATCATAACAATTCTAAAACATTAGTATGATTACCCAGATTTTAAGATGTGAGACAGAGTCAGGCATGGTAGGGCAAGCCTGTAATCCCAGTGAGGCTAGACTGAGGTAGGAGGATTGCAAATTCAAGGACAGCTTCAGCAATTTAGTAAGGCTCTAAACAATTTAATGAGACCCTGTCTCAAAATTTAAAAAAGTACTGGAGTTATAGTTCAGCGGTAAATTGCTCCTGGATGCAATGCTCCCTACCAAAAAAAAAAAAAAAGTAAGTTTCACCTTAAATTGTTCTTGATGAGAATGTAAAAATTATTTTTAATTCTCAGACATTGAATATCTATCTGTAATATTTTGTGTGACAGGTGAAAAGTAAGCATAAAACACTTCCTGCATACAAAAACTCAATGGTTGAGCTGGGTACAGTGGCACACACCTATAATCCCCGCTGTGCTGGAGGCTGAGGCAGGAGGATAAGGAGTTCAAAAGCCAGCCTCAGCAACAGCTAGGTGCTAAGCAACTGAGTGAGACCCTGTCTCTAAATAAAATACAAAAAAAAAAAAAAAAGAAGGGCTGGGGATGTGGCTCAGTGGTTGAGTGCACCTGAGTTCAATCTCCAGTACCCCCCAAAACAAAATAAAAGCACAGTAATTCATGCTAGAAAAAGAATTTACATGATTGAATTGTGAATTAAAGTGCTACATTTTATCATGGAGTAATATTTACTTGAAAAATGGCTGACATCTTTTCCAACTACATGTCTGCATTAGACTGCCTATTCTTCCTCACTTAAACCAAAACAACATTCACAATAGGAGGTCATGCATTTCTACATGAATTTTAACCAAAAAGGCAGCTGAAGCTGGTATACACCAGTAATCCCAGCTACTCAGAAGTCTGGAAAGTTTGAGTCCAGCCTTAGCAATGTAGCAAGACCTTGTCTCAAAATAAAAACAAAAAGGGCTCCTGATGTAGGTTAGTGGATTCAATCCTTAGTACGGGGGTTGGGGTTGGAGGGTTGGGGGAATGTGGTCAGGGAAGAAAATGACAGGACATAGAAAGCATGATCAGAGGACAAACAAGTCAGTGTTTGACTCAGAAGCCAAGACTTGGATGTGGCTCAAGCCCTCAAATACCGCAGAATAGACAGTAGATGAATTGAAAATAAGCTTCAGAACATAACAGGTGACTGAGAAATCACTAGATCTTATAGAAAGGCATTCTAGTTCAGATTTTTAAAAAAATATTTATTTATTTAGTTAGTTACTTACTTAGTTTTCGGTGGACACAACATCTTTGTATGTGGTGCTGAGGATCGAACCCAGGCCACACGCATGCCAGGCGAGCGAGCTACCGCTTGAGCCACATCCCCAGCCCCTCGGTTTAGATTTTAATGAGTTGAACAAACATGACTTTAGATAGGGAAGTAGTGTGTATAGACCAGAGGTCATAAATTGATGCCAAGAAACCTGTTCAGTTGATTTCTCTGTCACTTTTATTTTTTCTTTTTATATTACAGGGGATTAAACTCAGTGGCTCTCTACCACTGAGCCCTCTAACCTCCAACCCTATAAATTGAAACAGGGTTTAAGTGGCAGAGGCT